ATCTAAGAGTTTTACAATATTCCCATTTCTCACTACAAATTTTGAATGCTGTTGACATTCTTGTTTAAAGCCTAGGTTTTGATATGCGACATATTGCGCCACTACACATTGTTAGACCTCTAACTTATATAAAATTTAAACAAAACAGAATTTCATAAATTGGAATTGGACTTAATTGATTATCGAGCTTGGTGTGATAAGCTTTTCTTCTGAAAACATTTAGCATCAGTTGGTTGGTGGACTGACATGAAAGCCAAAACGACCAGTCACAACTGAAAACATTGTACACACAAAGATGTGCTAATTGCTTTGTACCCTGTTGTGTGTGTGTTGATATGTTTACCTGCACTATTGTGCCTATAATCTAACATTTAGAATTAATTAGTATTTAAAAAAGAATGTAATAGTTGCAACTGTAGCAGTAGTGTTTTATGATGAAAACATCAAGAAGTCCTTTCATCTGCTTCATTCTACACTTGATAGTTAAATGACCATTATTTGTCGAACGTATTTGTCCAAACGATTCACTTGTCTTTGAGGGCGGCTGTCCAAAACTCAAACACATGCATAGAAGTGAAAAACGGCTGCCACAACTGTACAAATATCTGCCAGTTTTGGTTTCAGCCCACTTGTTCAGAACAATAAATGTACACATTTTGTGCCTTTGCTGGTTCTAACAGATCGTGGGAGGGATGGAGCGCAGGAGAGGACAATGCATTTGAGAGACTTCCTCTGTGTGTGCTTGAATGTGTTTGTGAGTAACTGGGTGTGCACGGCATGTTTATATGTGTATCTGCACTTAGGTATGTGCAGGGGGAAATTTGTGCGTGCGTTTGCAGTTTTTGGCGGCTGTCAACAAACTCCCTTGTTACTGTGATTAGATTCACCCTCATGTCCTTCCTGATCTTTATCATGAGCTTCCACTGACATCCAACCCAGAAATAGACTCGATTTAGATTGATAATTTCTTTGCAAACCTTTAGTAGAAAGCTTTGCTTTAAAAAGCTGAAGTATAAATGCATTCAAATGTAGAGTAGATAATAAACTTGGCATTTTTTATTTGCCATTTCAGTGCTTTTAATTTATTACCATTTTGTTACTGCCTCATGATAGACTAGAAATATATATATAAATTAACATTAAACAAAAAAAAAAAAAACTTTACATATAAATTAAATGTGCTCCAATCTTCTTGTTATCTGTGCCAGACATCAGTGCAGAGGGAAACGATGTACATCAGTCTCTCTTATCAAACGCTTTATTTGTCAGTGAGCTGTCCATCTGGAGATACTATCAAACGGGACACTGCCAGAAGCTTATTGTCTCAACATCGAGTTCATGCTGTGTTCAAAGCTTCCACGAGCTCTGTGACTCAAAGAGCAGCCAGTGTTGTGCTGTCCGAGCAGGGTCTCAACCAAAACTAATGCTTTTCATATCTGCTGGTCATTGTCCTCTTGGCCACATCCCCAAATCCCACTTGTGTTGTCTCTCGAGGGGGGAAGCCATTTTGGCAATTATCCCCCTTGCTCTAGTATCAAATGGAAAACAGGGTCGTGGGTTAATTTGAGCAGGCTGAGCTGTATGTCAAGTTATGCTGTGGTGGGGCATAACATGCAGCTATCTCTGATGATTAATGATTATGGGAAATTAGAGCACATTTGATGTGGTTCCTAGACCGTCTGATCTGTCAGTGTGGTGCAAATAGCTATGGGGAAATACAGTACTCTTTCAGCTGCTTCAATATCCTGTTTGACTGCCATTGTTTTGTTATTTCATCATCAGTCTTCTGCACTACATAGAATCCTTTTATCTGGTTACATTGCTCAGAGTTGAATGTTTAGTTTTAGTACTTCAAATGTGTGATTTTTAAAACTCTATCTGATATACTCTGGGATTGTGTGATTAATCTAAATAGTTTTTTTTTCACTACATCATCTGAAATTTCTGATAAAGTGTGAAACCAATCTGTCTGTCCATGCACCCATCTATCCTCACACTCCAGCTCACGTTTGGTGAAAGGCAGGGTACCCAGGACACCCAATCGAATGCAAGTCTACATTCACTCACAAATTCATTCCTAATTAACTTTTTGAATAGCATGAAGCATGTTTTGGCCAGCAAAGAAACCAGAGAAATGGAGAGAACGTGCAAATAATACTAAGGAAGTCCACTGGAAGGCCTCAAACTGGCAACCTTCTAGCTGAGAGTATGTGATGTACGACTTAGGTGCAGCTGCTTAGCCATGAACACCTAGTATGAAGCTATCTACTAGGGGTGTAACAATATATCAAGGCACAATTTATAGCATTAAAAAATGTCACAATATGGATGGCATCAAATGCTGTCATACAAATCAAACCCTAGCCTTCTTAGCTTTGTGGTCTCAACTTTTTAAATTCAATGTCGTTCGTTTTATAAACAGTAGTTTCAATAGTTAGTTAAAAATATTGTTGTGAAATACTGTGATGCATATCGTATCGTGGACATAATATCGAGATATGTATCGTATCGTGAGCAGATTGTTTTGTTACACAATCTACACATTGTTCATGATCTAATCTGAGGGCCTCGTGATGTTTAGAAGCCTGTAGTAGTTTAAAAGTTGATAACTTCTGTGTGCATCCAGACATTGTCAATTTACATGGCCATAAAATGTTTGCTGTCATCTTCAGTAGATTCAACAGTGTCATAATATCACTGAAACTGTGGGATTTTTTTCCATTCTATGCATTTTTTTGCATTAAATGGCAAATTAACACAGTATCATTTGGAATTTTAATGAGCTCCTGAGAGAGAGCACCATCCTTTAACTAAGCGGCCTGCATTTTTTACTGCTTGATTGAGCAGGCTCATTCACATGGGTGTGTTTGAAACCATTTGAGTTCACCTAGTTGGATTGTCTGAGAATATATAGTAGTGGCTTATCAAGCAATGTTGCCTGATCTATTGATCCCACCACTGGCACCATGGATTTTAAAGCTCAACTCTGAATGGAGCAAAAGTCATTAATATAGCAGTGGTGGTATAGTGGACTTTACGAAGCACGTTACGTAACAAGGGGTGTTTAATCTATACTGTGCAGTACTACAGCTAAAGAAGGTGCGCAAGGATCTTTAGCATTAAATCTGGATTTCAAATGAGCTGCATTGAAACTGAAAAGAAATATACGGTTATTGTGATAAGCAAACCTCTTTGGCAGCTCCTGACATGCAACAGAACATTCCGAGGGCTGCTGTGCAAACAAGTTATGTGATTCCATGTGCCGGGGAATGATTTCTCATTCTCTGCTCAGGTGCTTAGGCTTTGTCAATAACAATAGAGATGATGTGGACTAACCATTCTGGTTTTTTAAGCAGATGTACCTCCAGGGGCACGGCTGTGATTTAAAATAAGAGTAATGCTTTCGTAATCAAATATTTCTTTCTAAAAGCATTTGCACTCAGCAGGGGCACATTAAAATAGTAGGATTCAAATGAGGCTGTCTGGTGTGGTTAGTGATTACAGCATTCTGACACATAATTCCATCTGTCTCTTCTGTCCACAGAGTAATGGATCCCTTGGATGGTGCCAGAGCCATAAACAGTGCGCGAAGGTAATTTCTGTCAAAATTACACAGCATTTCATGGCAGCTTGACGTAAAAGCCAACGTAGATCTGTCAATGTGAAACATTGGTATGCCTGTGTACCTCCCATAATGAAATCATAGATCATTGTAAAAGCTACTGTATTTGTCAGTGATTGCCTTGGACTATTATATCTGTGCTACTGCCGCTTGTCGAGCTCAGAAATGAGATTCTGATTCACAAGCAAAGCTGTAGGTCACATTAATAATGAGGCTGATTCAAATGGAGTTGATAGGCGATGGGTTTTTCGAAGTACATTATACAGCAAGTTGTACAGTATGTTATTCTTTTTACCCACTTCAAGGCTAAATGCTAATTTCTTACTGAAACCCAACCCACTTTTCCTAATGAGGACTTTAACATGCTCTAGCAGCTAGTCATTAAATAACAATAACATGCCGGTAGCACTAAAGAAGTTGCTGACGTGATGCCAATGTAGATTTTCTACACATTTCACTGTGGTATTATGTAAAGCTCCCTTTGATGTATTGTTTGATGAGGGCTGCTTTCCTTTCAGTGTTCTGCGCTTGCATTCCTTTACATATCAACCAGCACTTGCAGTCTGCACAATGCAGCGCTGAAAGCTATTCTTGAACGTACATCTGGACGCTTTGAAATATTTCAGCCCAGCTCATGATTGTGCATGTTACGGTTAAGTGCCTAAGCAGACTTTTCATGGCGTGAGGACTAGCTTGAAGGATTTGAGATCTTTAATGCATTGATGAAAGAGTGCATATGGTTGAAAGAGTGCAGCACGTGTTTTCATATCACCCTTGGGGTATGTTCACTGGAACAGGCAGGATTCTGACCTCTCCTCTGCAATCCATGGAAACATTTGGCCAACTGGTTCATGGATTTTTTTTACTGCGTCCTCCAGAGAGTTCTTCCATTGGCTTCAAAGGAGGACAATAGCTATAAAACTCTTTCTGTCTGTTGTAGAGGATCTACATCCAATTTAATGACTTGAGGCTTCTGGACAAGATGCTTTAAAACATTCAGGGTACAAAAGAAGAATGCAGAATATCTTGCCGTGATTTATCACTCAGCCATGATTTTTATACTCTACTGTATTTCAGTATGACAGGATTTTGAAAAAGGGGATGTTTGAATTGAAACAACTCTTCTTGTGACATGACAAGTAGGTAATATTACCATGATATTCATTTTAAAATTGTTGAAATCATTGCTAAATAATAGGTACAATTTAATAGTGCTTCAAAATCTTTTTCTCGCTACGGACTGGATTGATACAGGTATTTCTTTTCATAAAACGATATCCTGAGGATAAGCATCATTAGATAGCCATTCACCACATTTTATGTTAAGCAAGATTGGTGTGTGTGGGAATCACTTGATGCGACCACCACCACCACCACGGCTTTCTTGAGGCACAGTGTGTAGAGCATTGTGCCAACAATACAAAGATTGTGGGTTCGAACCTCAGAGAAAGCAAGAACTGACCAAATATATTCATTCCTTGAATTGCAAGTCCCTTTGGATAAAAGAAATCTGTTTCTTACACATTTTTCTAGCTTGTGTGACTCAGCTAATCAGTAAAATAGAAATAATTAAGAATTTGTTGTGCAGCTCAATTGATACATAGGCCGGTATCGGGTGTTAGGGACCTAAATTAATACCTATATTATTGCATGAATACACAGAGTATAAGAGTAATTTGGAGGTTTCATCGTCTGCTTTAAGGTATGTCATATTTTTTTATTTCTTAATGCTCATTTTGGCCCCCTATAACTTTTTAATGTTATATTAAACTCTGCTGAGACTATCCAGTAGTGAAGCACCTTGATAGTCCAGTGGGAAGTGTAAATTTCCAATAGTTCTCTAAATGTGTCAACGTTCATATGTCCGCGACATATATAATGCAATAGTTCAGAACTAATACATGGACTTTGTGTAATTCAATCATTCATAAAACTCCTCTCAAATAAACACATTAAACCCATATAAACAATGTGACTGAGAAGAGTCAGCCGAATGACGTGGTTGCGCTTTGATTGCCTAGCTCCATACTGCAGCTCTTTTTAGCTCGCTTATGGGTTCTGGTCATGTCAACACCCTAATCCTGCTTAGTATTACATGGGTGGCCAAAGGCAGGAAGCAATAATGTGATGTCTTTGTTTTGAGAAACAGTGGGAAAACACTGTCATAAAATGAATGCTGTTCAATATTGCATGTACATTGTGCATTGGACAAAAACAAACAGTCAAATATGTTAAATATATATAATTTAAATCCAAGCTTCAAATCTTGGTAAAAATTTGACATCTGAAGGGGTTACACTGACCAGGAGACAATTAAATCCAAAACCCCAACAAAACATGATCAGTTTAGTTATATATATACATCTGGCTAACAAAAGTAACTACATGTTCCATTGAATTCATTTGGGTGCACCAATCACCTATAGGTCTCAAAATATGGAAATCCAAAAGATTATAAAGCTACACTATTAAAGAAAACCAATTTGCAAATTGTGCATTTTTTTACACTTTTGTTTCAATTGTACGACTGCTTAACACTAAGAATTCTGAGCGTTAAAGCTAGGCCTTTTTCTATACCAACAAAAAATGTAGGTATTCTGTGAGTTATTGCATTTGTGGCCATTTCTTCGCTTAGAGGTATATATATATATATATATATATATATATATATATATATATATATATATATATATATATATATATATATATATATATATATATATATATATATACTCAAAATATTTAGGGGAATAAGGAATGTATTCATAGCAAATTAAAAGGATGAAAGAAATGGCACCACAGCAAGTAAACATGTAACGTATTCCCTTGCAGACTATGACAGGTTAAAGGAGTTAAAAGATTAACAACGTTGCATGGAAATTTTTACATTTATGCTTTTTATCAATAGAATATTTGCTTTTTAACGTCTCAAATAATGCCCCTACGAAAATTACCAACTCTGTTCACTCGGTTAGTAAACTGGAACACAAAGCAACCAACAATATTTAATGTTGCAGTAGAAATGTGTCAACAAATCAAGTTACTATAGAACTGTGTGCTTGCCTTTTTGTAATTCATTAAACCCAACATTGCTCTTATCTGATTAAAGAGTGGATCCCATCACAGCATACAAGCACAAAGCTATTTGTTTTTATCTGAGTATGTGTACATTCTTAGACTAGATGCTATATTTCAGTTGCCAAAATTGGGCCTGTACTTAATGGGCCTGTACTTTTGTTTAGACTGCAGCCTTTCAGTTAATTAACAGTTAACCCATGGCCTTTTCTGTCCAGCACTTTTTCAGTCAGCACCAGGGTACGGAGGGAGCCTTTGTAAAGCTTTTTCTCTGAAGTCCTACTGAAGCAATTAACATGATATAACAAGATAGTTCATTTGTACACCATTATAACTGTATCAAGACAGTCCACATTTCGAAGATCTGCTCTTGAAAATTGTCTACAGAAATTAGCCTTTAGGCATTTGCTATTCAAATGTCAAGGAAATAATTAAAGTGCTGCGAAAATCTCCTAGCCTTTAGTTTAATCGCTAGTTCAAGGATTACTGCTGTGACACCCATGCCAAACTCAGAGAGCAAGCAATTTTCACGGCACGGCCAAGATTTCAATTACAGTTGCTCTACATAATTTGCTGAGGCTTGCAAAGTGAGTGTCTCAAAGGTAGATTAAACAATGTCTGGAACCTCCTTGAGGCTACTATAATTGTCCGAATGCTAGCTTCAGACATGGACGGCTTACTTACAATCGGCAAAGTATTTCATTCCTCCAATTAGGCTTTCTTAAACAGTATCTTTTATAGATTGTGTAATGTAGCTAGGAATGCAAAAGAGCTTCATATCATTCATGTAGTTTGTCACAAGTAGTTTGTACTTACCTATAATGGTATTTTTTACAAAGCTATTTGTAGGTTCAGGCTATGATATTGAAGAAAACAAATGCGTTCTGTCAGGTTCAGGCCAGTCAGAGTTTTTTTTCCCAACGAACTCTTCCATTTCTGCTTTTATAGACCTTGTTTACTGGTCAGGTATAAAGGTCATATTATCAGTCATGTTGGGACAGTGGCAATCCCCTAAATGGCAATCCTCTAAAATGTTAACACAAAATTATAAGCATGTACTTGTCCAGAAACTGCCCAGTTACTTTCACTGGAACTAATGTCCTGAAAAATAACCTGATAACCTACCACCCCCACCAGTTTTTACTGTAAGCACAATTAAATCAGGCAAGTACCATTCCCCTGTCAACCCTGTCAGCCAGATAGAGAAACTTGATCAATGACTCCAGAGAATGTAGCTCCAAGATTTACACTCTATTTAATGGTTTCCATTGCAGTTGGTGATGCATGGCAACATGAATTGCTTCCACTTTGTTATGATACTACTGCCAGTTTACAGTTAATTATTTATTAGCAGATACACATAGCAGCAGAATGTGCCACTTGTTACACGTTCCATTGGGTTTTTATTAGGTATCGTGTTTGTTTACCATCTTACAAATGCAAAGCAGTTGCACTTGAAATGACAATTAAAGGTTAAAATTAATTAAATTAAGTCCTTTCCTTTTTTTAAAGAGTTTTGACATTTTCATGTTCTTTATGGTTTTAAACAAAAGAGAAACAAGAGTTTTTTCATAAATAATATGTAGTTATAATAAATAATTCTGAACAAATGTGTTTTAGGAGAGAGAATAGAAAGGGTAATCCAGAGAGAGTAGTATAAATACAGATGAACCCAGCAGAGGTGTGACAAATAAATTTAAGTATTATCTTAAACACAAAAATGAATGATTCATTCAATTATTTTCTTTACCTGTTTATCCTTAGTTAGGTCTGCAGAGCTTGCTTTATCCTCCAGCTCAACCTTTGACTCACCTTTTTATTAACATTCGCTCTTAAGGTTAAAATTAGATGTATTTGGACTGTGGGATGGAATTTGAATGGCCAAAAGAATCTTACCTCGAACCAGCCACCTCTATACCTCTATATAGCTCTATAAATTGCGCTAATGTACTGATTATTCGAGCACAAATTAATGCGGCACAGCATTGTTTCTCCCCAATATTATGTTTAGTTTAATCTTGATGAGCGCCATTTATTTTCTCTAAATGAGCAACCTTAATTTCTATGACATTTTGACAGTCATCACCATACTTTCTTTGCCATGACAGTGGGTTTACTTGTATTCTACTGTAACAACTCATTGTAGGATTGCTGTTTATGCTCATCAACTCTTTCTCAGTGTTTTATGATAGTAAAACAACCTGTTTAGTTTATAATGAATATGTTTTTGTTGAAGATTGCGAAACCCATTAGGGGAAAGATTTCAGTGAGCGTTTGGGTTCTTCAATTCATGTTATTGACCTATTGCTGAGGCCTTCTTTGTTTTTCTTTGGGAATAAAGACATGTTTTCAACCAGTTGTGTGCACCAAGGGACCAGATTTCATTAAGGACTATAGAAATTGGCTGTGTGATGAAAATAGTTTCAATGTGGAAACAGCAAATAATGTAATTACATTAGAAATGGGATTTCCCAGGGGTTTTGGGCACAGATTCAGATGTTATTAACGTTGTATCAGGTGGTTCTTGAGGTTGAAACAGCTGAATGCACAGCCGGCCATTGATTGTAAAAGCATTCTAAATGGTTCTTAAAAGAGAATACTGAGTTCAGTAGAAAGGTTTTACTTCCACACAGACACATAAAAGAAGATATTTTAAACTTTTATGCACATTTCCATGATATCCTCCTACTATCATACTTTCAGAATCTTTAAACCAACTCGAAACTGACTGAGAAATCAAGACTGGGACCAGTTGGGGTTTTTGTTTTTCAGTTTCTGAGGGATTTAATTGTATTACATTCAAACTGTAAACCACTTACTTAAATGTTTTAAGTTTTGTTAGCTGTAACAATTACAAAGTTTATTAAACAAATATCATGTAAACAAAAAAAATTACAAGAACGTGTCCATGCGGGAAGAGGGTGTGTTAATATGTTTCATTATTCAGCGGCCACTTTGAATGCATACAACAGGATCAATTTTTACCAAACAAGCACCTCAAATACTGGTAGCTATCAAAAGAAACACCTGTCCTAGAAACCGTTTCGAGTTCAAATTCATCCTGAATTGATGCAATTAATTACAAATGTTGGAGCTAAGTTTATACCCCATGAATGAAAAATAGATCAACCCAAACAATATAAGCAAATACAGCATAGGTGTTTTTACAGCGTAGGTGTGGTCTTCCTTGTAGAACTGCATCTTTTTGCATGTTTATTTGATTTTTCCAGACATATTTTTAAAATTATTCAAAACTAAACATTAAATGGAGGTAAAACCTCAAGTTGATTTTTTTTATCAAGTATATAATAATATCAATAATATACTTTAAACAAATATACCAGGATTTTTGCATTAATCATTCAGACACATAAAGAA